TTGATATTCTTGCAGATCTTGTGACAGGTCACCATTTGGCCACCAAAGAAAACGGAGAAAGCTTCAATGTTCTTCCTGGACACGAACCTGATGAAACATACTCTCAATATCAGCCATAAATGCTGCTTCGTCTTCTCGAAATCTCATGAGGACGCCGAGTAAAGAATTTGTCAGATCCGGGCCTTGCATTAACTGATCATTCAGCGATGTTCCTTGGAAGCGAGCGCTGCAGTCAAACACCACACAAATTTTATCAGGCTTTTTTGCGTGGTACACTCCATGATGGGGTAGATACCAAATCTTTCCTGGTTTTCCTTCTGGACAGTCATCGGATACTTTACGAGCATACCCCTTTCCAAGGATATCGTTCATGAACTTAACATAATCTCGATGAAAGTTACTGTTCTTAGATAGCTTTTTTTCTAACCAGTAGGCTCTAACGATGGCTTGTTGTTTATTCATTGGCATATGAACATCATCATTCCTGAAGGGCAGTGGCATCACATAATGTCCATCCACATACTTCGTCTCACGATCCATCTTCTCCATGAACCTTTTATCTTCCTGAGAATACTGATCCTTTTGGGAGTGTCGCTCATTAAAATCTAGCTCGAACATTTTATTTAATGCTTCGGGCGTCACCAACTCTTTGACGGATTCTTCAACCATGAAATGGTGCTCTGACGGCTTGTTTGATCCAACCTCTTGGACGATTATTCTGTGACAGTCTACTGAGTGGTCATCATTAGACATGTAGAGTGGTCCAACTATGGTCCAACCAGCGAAGGTCAGCATCACGAAGGGACCTCCGTTACTACTAGCGACGAAATCTCTCGGTTCAATAGCCTTGGGACAGTTCGTTCCTATAAGAAGACCAATCCTAACATCTGCCAAATACGGGGGAACCTGCTCCGATACACGTTCCAGATGTTTCCATTTACTGTATAATTCTGGACGTGGTATTTCATTCTTGGTTCCAGGAATTTCGTCTCTGGTAAAGACTTTCGGGAGGGTGATAGTATTTGCACCATTCAAATCAGATACTACTAGACCGGTTACTACCTTGGTATCGTGCATTCTTGGTCCATTCATAGTTCGAATCATTACTCTTGTGTTCGTTCCGTTCCCATCAAGTCGTTTGAGCGCCTCTTCTGTGATGAAGGTACCCGTGCTGCAAGAATCAAGCATGGCATAGGTGATTATTTCTTTGTTGTTACTCTTTAGCCGAACAGGAACGATAGGCATAGATTCAACCGAAAATTCTATCTTGCTCGCATCACAGGCAACTTCATCAGCGACGGCAAATGCACAGTTCTTCGCAGAATCAGCAGGATTGTCCTCATCAGGGTTTCCTTTTGGGGTGTGTCCTCATTCTTCTTGGTTTCCTCAGTTGTTTTACTCTTCGGTCGAAAGTTTTCATCGTGCAGCCCCGTAGGATGCCAACCTGAACAAGTCTTGCAGATTCGTCTCTGGATACATCCTCTTGATCTGTGTCCGGGTCTATAACAGGCAAAACATAGTCCTCTTTTAGCAATTAGGGTTCTTCTTTCAGATAGTGGTTTCTTTAAATAAACTTTACACTCGTCTAGATCGTGCGAGGCATTACAAAGAATGCACGGACGACCTGATTTTTCATTCATCACGGTTGTGTTGCTTGTTAACTTAAAGGGCAGGATTTTCTTGGCTTTACCCTTATCATCTTGACCAATTTTATCGAGCGCTTGCCGGGAAAAGACGGGATCAGTTGCTATCTTTGCTTCTGCTTTAACGAAAGTGGCGACGTGTTTGAACATAGGGATCTTATCATTTTCTCTTATCTTAGTCACTTCTCTACGCCATCGTCCTTGTAAATAGAAGGGCAATTTTCTCACTAAACACTGCAGGTTTTGTGGATGGTCCAAAATACTGAGATAAGATAACGATTCCATTGCGCTCAGGCATTGTGTCAGGAACGTTGCAAATCTCTCCAGGGCGTTGTCATCTCCAGACCTTAGAATGGGCCAATCGGTCATTCTCTTCAAATATGCATTTGAAACTTTGTATGGATCACCATACTTCTCTTTCAGCAACCTCTTAGATTCAGCGTAGCCCGCATTAGCTTCCATATGGTGACATCCCTTAATCAACTCCTTCGGCTCTCCTTCCAAATATTGTTCCAAATATTGCATACGAATACGAATATCGCTTGATCGAATGTTTCTTTCGATTCGCATCTCGAATCTACATATAAATAGGTGATATTCCGTCGGATCGCCTTTAAAACTCGACCAGGAAAGTGAAGGTAAGGTGCTTTGTTGGTGCTGTTCAGATAGCATCTCCGTCAAATGATTCTGCCTTTCGAATAGCTGCAGCAGGGGTCATTGCCGGAACCCGACCTTCCCAAATTTCTATAGTCACTTAATGGTGGTCTCATCTCACGGTTAATAGGTTGTTGTGTCATTTCATATTTAGAATTGGGAACGAGTCCTTCAAATGCCAGACATGGCGATGAAGTGGAGTCTCCGCTACTTAGGAGTGAGAATGGTTGTAGTCTCACTGGAACGCGATTGGCTCTTTTCGAGTGGAACGCCGAAATAGGAGTTTGTTGAAAAACTTTCTCCGATGAGGGCATTTCAGTTGGTCCGATCTTTGCTGTCTGATGCGGAAAGTTCTCTTTACGCAGCGGTCGCTCTTCAAGATCTTCATACATTCCATCAGTTGCAACTTCAGGTTTAACTTCATTGTTAACCTTCGTGAAGGCTTGTTCTCTGGCTTGAGCGACTGCAAGCTCTTCTTGCAAGCGTAATTTCTCAGACTCGTTTTCAAGAGCTTGTCTTTTCTCCAACAGCGCTGCTTTGACCTTTAAATCGGCGACTTTTGCCATCTCTCTAGCTCTGTCAGACGTACTTGAATGTCTTGAAGCAGTCGATCAACGAGATTCCGTTGATGATTTGGGAGTGCTTGACTTCGAGGCGTTTGATTTCATTTCAAGTCGTTCTTCTATTTTGTACTTGCCACCGCAATCCAATCTCTTACTTTTCCTCTGAAGGTCGTCAGTGTTCTCATATAGTCATCATACCAATCAATCAACGAAGCGTGCTCTTGCCCTGACAATAAATCTCTCCAAGCTTTAAAGGCTCCATGGAATTCTACCAAAATTTTGCTGTACACTTCGAAATTATTTTGAACCTTGTGTACGTCGTCATAATCATTCATACAACCTTCGATTACCTCGATTACTTTCGATATTTGCTTTTGTATAGATCGGCATTGTTCCGTCTTTAATTCAATTTGATATGCTCAGCCTTTGTCTGTCAGTTTCCTATGCTGTCTTCTCACTGGACCTCTGATAACTTCGTTCACGAGCAGTGTTAGCTCAGGATCTAATTCCATATCACTTAGCCTGACTAATAAATCATCTGACTTTGTTGCCATCTTTTGGTATAACGTTTTTTGTACTAATGTCGATGCAAATCTACGTTTACTTGCTTGACACCGGCAGGGATCATATAAACAACACTTCGTACGCGTTAATACAAAATCGCTCGATCGTTATTCGTTTATTAAACGGTTATAATGTATTACGGTACAAAAACGTTGTGGCTTTTAGCACAACATGTCTTGTTCTTGTAAACTGTTCCGACTTCGATAAGAGCTTTGTCGATACTGAGATGTTCTTGCTCAAAACTAACTTATAGCGGTCTAATAATAATTAATTCTAATATATTACACATGTTATGAGCACGTACAAAAGAAGTCAAAGTCCACACGTGAAATAACTATCCTAAATTTAAATATTTACATAAAAACAATTTAAGGTTTATTTTTTGGCACTAACAATATATATCTATATATATCTATATATCTATATCTAATCTATATATCTATATATCTATATATCTATATATCTATATATCTATATATCTATATATCTATATATCTATATATCTATATATCTATATATCTATATATCTATATATCTATATATCTATATATCTATATATCTATATATCTATATATCTATATATCTATTATATATCTATATATATATATCTATATATCTATATATCTATATATATATATATATATATATCTATATATCTATATATATCTATATATCTTATATATATATATCTATATATATCTATATATATCTATATATATCTATAATATCTATATATATCTATAATATCTATATATCTTATATCTATATATATATCTATATATATATATATATCTATATATAATATAATTAATATATATTATAATAATATATATTATATATATATATCTATATATATCTATATAATCTATAATATCTATATAGCCGCTGTCATTGTTGTCCAAATCAAGTATATCAATATACCTGTCATGTGACTTATTGGTATGCACCAACTCGAGTGTGCTTGCTATGTAAATGTATGAAGCACCCGCATAGCAGATACATTAACATAGCAAGCACACTCGAGTTGGTGCATACCAATAAGTCACATGACAGGTATATTGATATACCTGGTTTGGACAACATTAATGACAGCGGCTGTATATCTATATATATCTATATATATCTATATATATCTATATATATCTATATATATCTATATATATATATATATATATCTATATATATCTAATATATATATCTATATATCTAATATATCTATATATCTATATATCTATATATCTATATACTATATATCTATATATCTATGTATCTATATATCTATATATCTATATATCTATATATCTATATATCTATATATCTTTATATATCTTTATATATCTATATATCAATATATATCTATATATTTATATTTAATGACATTTCCTTATATTCCGTTCTCAATTGTGATTGATTTGGCGTTTTTGTGTCGCTAACTTGTCTCCTTCATGCACCAAAGCCTTGACGCGATCGTATATACTATATGGTTGGGCGTGTTCGCACTATGAAGCAAACCACAAAGGTGGCAATGAGCAAATATCGAGGCAATTTTAAGGACCAGTATGATATAAGCTTTTGT